ACCTGTACTTAGTGCTGTCCACTTGTGATCAGGTCACGCAAGCAAACAGCAATACCAGGTCAGGAACATGGACTTTGATTCTGCTCATTGACTAATGTTTTGTTGACAATAAGGTAGCAACTCTACAATAAATTTACGGGATCAAACACTGGAAATGGAGAAACAGAAAAACTTCTCCTTACAAACAAAACCTTTGGTCTGAGTCGTGAACTGAGACATTCTGCAGAGAGGTTGAAGCCAAGGTCAAACTTGCAAGGTTGAAACAAACTTGAGAGCAGAAGTGGCTGCTCAGGATCCAGGCCAAGGAGGCAGCTAAAGTCAGAGAACCTAGCTGGAGCCCAAAATAGGACAGAGCCATTGAGACTACCCCGGCCCAATTTATCACAACGTTCACAGCTCAGCTCAGAGCAAGGGAGAGAGGACGAAAGAGAGAAATATCGCACAGAATTATCCCTTCATCCGCCTCCGAGCCTTCGCCTGCAGTGCGAATAGAGGAGTCGGACAGATGGAGGGAAGGAGAGAAAGAAAGAGAGGTGTGGTGGTCACAACTAGAGCACAAGCAACATTATGGAGAAACTTTTAGCTTTTTAACTCAAGTGTCCTCTTTGATCATTAGTATGAAATAAGTGAATGGATGAATTAGTCATGGGGTGACTTGGGAACCGAGCCAGTCAGGATATGGTTAGAAATTATGAATATATTACAGCTTTAGCGCAGTCTGCTGTTACAAAATTATAAAGTGTACACACACACACACACACACACACACACACACACACACACACACAGCCCTAACCCTAACCCTAATCACAACCCTAACCCTAACCCTAANACACACACACACACACACACACACACACCACCTCCTCAGCTAACCGTGGTGAAGCAGCTGATGTGCTGTCCCCTGTTTGTAACTCTCTCTTTAACCCATCCTCCTCCGGTCTGTTCTTCTCACTCCTTCCTCGTCTCATCCCTCCCTTCTCTCCCTCTCCCTGTGTTGCAGTGTGACGTCACCATCAGGGAGCTAATGCTGCGTATCCTTAGGGTGCTGCTGCATTCCTCTTTGCCAACTCACATACACAGCACAAATGAAATCCAAGGCTGACACACACATGGAGGCGAGATGGATGGAGTTACCGAGCAGAACACCAACACTGTTCCTCTCGTCCTCCAGTCCATCTGTCCCTCATAGCTACAAGATGTTAAGCGTTTTGAATAAACGTTTTTAAAAACATCATTAATTTGCTAAAAACAGAAGATGGCAACGTCTTAAAATGACGTATGGGGTAAAGCGGGTCATCCACTACTCACAATGCCAATGGTTTGATCCCTAGCTCCTGCAGTCTGATTGTTGAAGTGTCCTTGAGCAAGATACTGAACCACACATTGCCCCTGATGGCTGTACCAGCAGTGAAAGTACGGTGTGTGTGACGGGAAAAAAAAAGTAGTTCTGTATGAATGAATGTATGTAACTGGTGCTGTAAAGCCCTTGAGTGGTCGATAGGACTAGAAAAGCTCTATGTAAATACAGTCCATTCATCATTTGTTTGAACAGTCATAAAACCCAAAGATATTCAGTTTACTGTCATGCGTGACAATGAATAGAATCAGACCCTTGTCCTTTTAGCGACTTCCTGAAACAGCAAGCACTGAAATTCACACAGAAAATTCTCCCACAGATTAATTTTATTCCTCTGAGGATGTTCTAGCCTGCGTGTTGCCTGTGGATGACACACCCCACAGCCTGTTCTCCATGCAGACGTGTTTGTCAGTCTCCCTCAGATGACAAGAAAACAGTAATGAGGCTAAACTCAGCAGTTTCCTTTGCTCTGTGTAAAGAGAAAGTGCAGTCATTAGTTTTCGGTGCGGCGCTGGCTTCCTTGGAAATAAGCTCTGATGGAAAGACTAATCTGAGACAGGATACTGTGGAGCATTGTGTTTGAACACCTCGGCTGATAAACACCCATAGCTTAACAATGCACGAACCAGCAGATGAGAACATGACAAAGAGCTGAGGATGGAAAAACTTCCGAACAATGCCTCTTCTGTCCACGAACATTGGTTTGTACATGAGGACTTCCTCAGGCAAGAACCGGCAAAACGTCAAACACTCGTAGGCGAGTGGTGGAGTGCATGTCAAGAGGGACGACATGAGGCACAACATCAGGGGAAATGGCCTCTGGCGATCGTGGCATATATGGAGCTTCTGATCTATAATAGCTTTCCACGAAGCCTTTTGTGCTGAGCTACTCAGCTGCCCTCCGAGGTGACCTCAATACAGCCAGAAGAAAATAAAAGAGCTAATACGCAAGAGATGGAAGATACGCTGTCATAACATCAATACTGACACATCCTGTTTTCTTATTTCCATCTAAGCTTTTACTGACAACTATAAGACATAATATAAAATGTTTTTTTAATAACCTCTAGAATGACTAGACCCATCACTGCAGCAATGAGGTCCCTTAAACTTTAAACTGCTTATTCTCTTTACCCACCTTTAGCTTCCACTTTGTGTTACAATCCCTCGAATGCAGCTCAGCAAGCAAACACTGACCATGGAAACATAATGAGAGAATTTCATCATCCAGTACACTAAGACTCAGAGTGCTCAAGCCACAAATCAGCTGAACTCACAAAGGTACTTTTAGCACCAACTGTAGGTGAAATACCTTTTGGTCAGAAGAGTTAACATAAAGATTTTGTGTACATTCTTTGTGCGGCAGTGGATAACGTTTACAAGGTACAGATCCGTGTGAGTAGTCTGTAGGATAGAGCTGAAAAAATGTGAACCTGTCCCTTAAATGTCACGTTCGGTGTTTCACCAGGAAATTGTTTAACAGGTCCTCACCCCTCTCCTCCCACACACCATCAGTTTAGTAGATGACAGCCTAAACAAGAGACTGTGTTAAACAAAAGCTTTGCTACATCTGACACACGTGTAGTCGTTTGGTGTCTTCATCTCACTAAACCATGACATAAATAAAGTTATTGATTCATTCAACTACTGGCTGAGTGAAAACCCATGGAGTTTAGAGTAGAATCTGTAAACTGAAACTAGTTTTCAGACTGTTGGTTCGGACAAAAGATGGAATATTTCACTCAATTATCTGACTTCAATGCTGAAAATCAAATTAGTTGATGATGCTTTGCCTGGACGGTGGTCCTTATATTCAAATGTATTTTTTAATGCTACAATATTGTTATATTTGTGTGTTAGATTATTAACACGTTTGATGTCTTGTTAATGAAACACTTGGTCAGGAAACCCTGTAAAAACGTCACTTATTCAGTCTTTTGATGAGAGATTCTACTTGGCCAATTATGTTTTTTTATTTGTTTTCTTTTCAGAATATCCATATATCCAACCCACCATGAAGAGTTTGTTTATATAAAGTCCAACATGTAAATGTGCCAGATCTGTAGTCTCTGACAGGTTGATGGTAAAAAAACAAAACCGATATTCACTTGTATAAAAACAGAGATACACAGATACTTTCAATTTGACATAGTCTTGTGGATTTCCACAGCATTTCTCTCCACTGCCACCCTTTCATACATGTGCCACACCAGGTATCACTTTCGCTTCTGTCCACTACCTGAAAACAGCTGAGACTCCGAGTTTCTCCTGGTCGTGCCACTGAGCAATGCTGTCAAGATGCATCCACCCTTTATAGAGACAACCAAACAATCACTCTCTCATTTTTTTAAGTATCCGATCAAAAAGCACCAATCTGCTTGTCTTTGAACTGTGGGAGAAAGTCGCAGTACCTGTAAAAAACCCACGCGAACACAGACCGTGATTGGAACCAGGGAACCCTCTTGCTGTGAGACAACGCTGCATCACTGTAATGCTTGTTATTAAAACAAGAAGTTGATATCGATAATCATCACGACAAATGTCACATCATTATTTCTTTCAAGTTTGAAGACTTGGTTTGTCCTTCTGAGGGAAGGCTGTGATTTTAAGATTAAACTTCAACACTAATCATTTTACAAATCAAGGTTTATATATTAATCAATCATGTGTTTACCTCCTCACTGTGTTTGCATAAGAAATGGTTCGATATATGCAGAACTTTTGTCATGTTGCTATTCATGAGAATTATATTGTGTTATCACTCAGCCATCACTCGTACAAATTAAGACAACTTTTCCTGCAAGAATGCACACACACACACACACACACACACACACACACACACACACACACACACAAACCAGGAGGATGTGGGACAATCTTTTATGCGTTATTCTCCGTTTTCTGTATGTGTGTGTGTATAGAAACACAGATTGGGAGGCGAGGCATGACAAAGTTGTGCAGGTTTCACTTTGGGAGAAACGAGGGTCTGAGCTCGAGCAGCCGGGCCCAGCACAACAAGGGTGTGGTGGCTCACACAGAGGAATGTCCTCAGGTCAAACAAACAATGTTTTAACGCTGATTTAGTCCAGAACATGGAGGACACACTTCCTGACCGCAGAAACTACAGGAGAAGAACTCACTCACTCACTCCTCAGCACAGAAGCTGTTTAGATTGTTTTGGTATTTTGTTGCTTTCTAATCATTAATGTTCAGAGGGAAACTATCTACTGCTCCCTCCTGATCACTGGACAAACAGGTTTCAAGAGGAGACGAGAAACTATTTCTAAGGCCTGAACACAACTGCCCTTATAATTAAATTACATAATCAGGTATACGATACAGGGTGTGTGTGTGTGTGTGTGTGTGTGTGTGTGTGTGTGTGTCACAGGATCAGAGTTGTAAAGAGTAATCTGGTGTGTGAGGATCTTTTCCTTCATGTTCATCTTGAAGGAACCTCGGACAAACTTCATACTTCTACAACAAGTAACAGGTCTGGACTCGCAGAGCCGCTGCTGCTGTCTGGGCTCATTTAAATGCGTCCGAACACTTTTCTTTAAAATCCTCAAACTCGCGTCGTCATCGGCTCAGTCCGATGTGAGCCGGACAGAAGCGGCAGAGAAGGAGAGTGTGGTCTTACCTTTCACAGGACTGATGTTTCAGGTCTGGAGCTGCTCCGTGTTTCCTGCTCCGGGTTTCCTGCTCCTGAAGCAGCTGAGAGTCAGAGTGAGAACTAACCGACGCTCACAGCACCACGACCCTCCCAGACTGCTGCGTTCACGGCGCCTCAGAAACTCCCAGTCCCCAGTGCTCCCGAGTCCCCTGCTGTGATTGTAGGGCGAGACAAAAATGTAAGACATCATTTGATACTGATGATTATCATAATACATCTCACATTATTATTTACTTTAAGCTAAAAAGATTGATTTTGATGCCGGAGTGAAGGTTGTGGTTTTAAATCTGAACTTAAACACTTGATAAACAGCAAAATGTTTTATATGTTTTATAAATTATAAATTTCTCAGGTTTCTGAAGAACATTGAAACAAATTGTGTACTGTACCTCCTTATGTATTGGTAGCCTATATATTTAACTTTTGTTATATTTAGCTCGATGACATGATATTGCGATCTTTGTCACTAGTCAAGGAGGTTTTTGTCTGTTAGGTAACAGGATTCTGCAAACTACTGTACAGGTTACCAAGAAACTGAAAGCATGCGGCATGTTTCAGGATAGAACCCATCACACTTTGGTGTAGATCCAAGCACCGTATTATTATTTACTTTCTTTAACATTGCAAGACAGGACGTTTTGTAATATTTTGGATTTCTTAGAGAATAATTCATAGATCTGATTAGTCACTACTTGAACCAAAGACAAAAAAAATAAACACACTTTTCACTAAATATCAGCCATTAATGGTTTTCTTTACATTCAGGTGGTTGATGTATAAAAAAGCAGGTCATTTTTCTTTTTAGTTTTAATGAGCACCATCAGACCTGTAGCAAACACTGTCACTATCGCTAATTACAGTAACTGAGAAGCTCATCCACTCTCTATGGAGTGTTTAAGGGTCCATACATTGTGTTAATTTACTTTATTATATTATTGTGAATTATTTTCATAGATTAGAAAGTAATTGATAATAAGATACATTACAAAAGATTGTAATTCGCTTTTCCATCGTGCTTACATACTTTAGCCAGTATAATCATAGAAGAGGTTTTAAATGATACATTTCTATTTAGTATGAAAGTGAATTGAAGTCAGAGAACACAGCAGAAACTCTGTATTAAAACACAAAAGCCTCAGCTGGCGACCACACACTTCACTAGGAGTTATGGTTGGAGAATTTACGACTGCACGTGAACGCAGCATAGCGTCTTGGCCTTTTGAGAATCCAGCGCCTGCACGCTATTGGCTGAGAAGATTCAACCGTTGAAACGTCTCCGCCCCCTTACGGATGGTAAATGATGACGTAATTTATATTTAAACAGGATTGCCCTTTAGTTTTAATGGTTGTTTGTTTTTATTTCACTTTACAAACAATCTTTCAATGTTATTCAGGGTTTTGTTGATGCTTTAGTTTGAACTTACAATTATTATCATCAATATTTTGTTATCTTCGTCGTTGTTGTGCAGAGAAAATGACTTTGACCCCAGAGCCTCTCTCCCACAGTGCAACAGGAAATCACACAACAGAGATCTGATGTCTCTAACACGTCGTCTCCTCAGTGAGGTTGTAAGTTCATTCCCCCTAAAGTGCTGCACAAAAATATGCTGCAGCTTCTGTGAAGAACCCTCAGTGGCCTATTGTAAGAACTCCAGATCACATCACAACACAGTTTCTATTATGTCAAATCAGAAAGTTGTACCCAAAGAAAAACACCTAGCAGGCAAATCTACTGCGGTCAAGCCAGCGCGTACTCTAACAAGTCCAACAGTATAAGTCTCATGAAGAACTCAAGACAAAGAAAGCACTTTATCCCTCATTCTTGTTCTGTGGAGAGGATTTTAACAGAGGATTACCCAAAGAGTACACAGTAAGAGTACTTAATAGTATTTGTGGCAATACTCTAAGAAGTACTAAGTCCAACAATATAAGTCTCATGCAGAATTTGAGGCAAAAAAGCTTTGTATCCCTCATTAAAGATAGCAGAAGACGCTAGTTCTTGTTCTGTGGAGAGGATTTATTCATAATAAATTATGTTTATATACTGTCATGTTTATTTATCGCCAGGTTTAATAAACTGAGCTCTGTATATTAAGTTTTGAGGAAAGAAACAGCTCCTCTAAACCTCAGAGCTGCTTCACAACGTTTACCATAAACGTGTAATAATTTACGCGCTCTAGAAACGACAGTTGGCTGGTTGAACTGCAGTGCAAAACTCTGATGCGTTGGTTTTCTTTCTCATGGGGTTCAAAATGTGTCAAAACAAAGACGTGCTTGTTGAGAGAAAGGACCCACAAGATTCCACAACAAAATGAATGTGTTTGGCCTCTCTGCATCCCTGGCAGTAATTTGAACACTTGGTTGTTTCCATGGTAAAAACCTGCATAATGTAGTTTCAGATTAAACAATGTGCTGTGACACCTTCCATAAAATGTGATGCTATTACTGCAGACAGTGTGAGAGGCTGGTGCACGTTGACTGGAGAAAACAACAGACACAACATAATCCTGCATATGACTTAAAAACATCCCTGTAACCTCGATCATTTTATCACTGTCCCTGTATAAACCTGCAGTTTGACACTTTGTCAACTGCATATTCTGGAAGTGGCTCATACCAAGTGGTATTTTCCAACATTTAGCAACACTACAGCCTTACTGGATTAACACACACCAGTCAAATATACACAGTCTCCTCAGCACAGTCCCGAAATGAAAAGAAATCCAATGATAAATGAACACAATTTAGCAGCAACACACTGTTACTAAATTTGTTTTGATTAAAGACCATAATCTGCAATGGACGACTACCAATAAACTGTCAAGAGAGCGTTATCATGAATCACTCAATAGAACAATGAGTCCTGAAATGAGCTTCATCTGCTCAGCACAGTACAGAGAGATCGTACAAGTAGCCTCCAGGGGACAACTCGTCAACACCCACGCTGCTAAAAGTGAGCCAGACTTTGTTGCAGTAACTTAGAAAGTACAAAGTAAGTGGTTGGATGGAATAAAGGATGAGTGTCAGGCAGGAGTTGTCATCAGGAAGAAAGGTAGAGGGAGGGAAAAAGAACTGTGGCATGATTTAGAAACTGGAAGCAAAATAAAACAAGCTCAAAATGAAATAAACATCAAGGAAAGCAACAGGCGGAATCAACTAGTCCAGAAAAACTATTGTCCTTCCAATAACATTTCCAGGGTATAAGTGTAGATAATTTAGAAAGAAAAAAAGTTGAGAAGAATCAATCAAAATCAGTAATAGTATATTTAAAAAATCATGCAGAACTCATGAGTTGCTGAATGGATATATTCAACTGCACAAATGAATTAGAAAAAACAATGCACACAAGTTTGACTACTTGTCAGCAGGAGCAGTGTGACAGGTCGTTTGTTTTTTGGACGACTAATCAAAGACTTGTCCTGCTGGGTTTAAAGAGGTTAAGATTTATCATTACTTCAATATATTTATTTTGTTGTGAGGTTGTAATCAATAAATACATATAGGATGGACACAGTTTATAGCTCATGCTGCCGTATCCCCAGTGTGTCAAATCAAACTGAAAAATGATCAGTTGCTGCTCAACAATGTGTGAAACCAACAAGAAAACTTTTTGCTACAGATCCTGTGTTTTATAAAGATGTGAAATAATCAACAATGGGCTTTTCTAAATTAGCTAAATTAGCTTTTAGTTTCTATTCCTGAAATTATAAGTGCTGAGATATTCTTAAAGTAAATTCTGAAATGTAAGCTTTTCATTTAGAATACAATATCTAACTTTAGGAAGCCTGAAGGTGCAGCAGAAGTAAAAAATACAATGACCTAAACCTTTTTTTGATTAATTAAACCGTATGGATTCTGTGTGGTGGTCACACAAAACCTTCACCCTCAGTGATTTAAATCTCTGTTCATCATCTTTTCATCACTTCAGATTAGTTAAAACAAGAGAGGCAATCTCAAAGCTGCAGTAAAACCATCATGTCCCCAGGGGATGTTTATCACGAGAGAGGAGGCAGACGAGATGTCCTCATGTTGCCCTGTAGCTACACCAGGGGACAGAGCGACCTCTAGCGACGTCACACACTCAGTACAACCTGCACACTCAACACTGTCTGTAGCCTACATGATAATCTTCATCATCAGGAGGAAGAACACCTCATCATCCTCAGTTAAATGGTGCTCTCACTTTAACAACTGTAACTGTAACAACAGAACACTCAACAACTGATAAAGCACTTTTTAAAGGTCCAGTGTGTAAGATTTAGGTGAAAGGGATCTATTGGCAGAAATTTAATGTAGAATAATCCTCATGATGTTTTCACTAGTTCGTTTCATCTAAATTGTATGAATTGTAGTTTTCTTTTACCTTTATATATTTAAATACTTTACATTTACATCGATTAGTCACTACAGAACATACATGTTGAAATATCTGATAACTTATTAACTGTTTGAGGGTTTTTTAACAACAAATTACATTTTGTATTTCAGTTTCTCAAATGTAAGTATTTTCAGATTTTCTCCTACTTTAACTATGTTAAACTGAAAGTAAATTTAACATCTTTGTGAGCTATCCCTTTAATAAAAGTCAAAAGGAATGCAGGTCTGACCACTAGAGGGACCTCTAATCACACAAGTGGTGACATTCACCATCCCTCCGCTGTTTGCTTTTCTTTTTTGTGATTGCATTAAAATTCACTTTCTTCATATGAGGTGTTTTATCAGGACTAATTTTACCAGCATTGGCAGCCCATGAACCATCCCTGCCTACTGCTCATGCTCATTTACCTCCATAGAGGATAAGTTTAGGATTTTTAAACTAGGCCAAAATCAAATAAAAAGAATCATATTTCACCAGAAGATGACACCAACCTCGTTTCCCTCCTCCTACTCATGCTTGGAGCTGATTTTTCTTCAAAATAGTGCTATTAGTAGCGGGAAATGTGGGCTCACTGGTTCTCTCCTCTCCAAAGCATCTTTTATCTCGGCTCCCTCTGGTGTCTTATTCCTCAGTAAGCTGGAGTCAGTTGAGTAAAAGATACTACAGGGAAAAGAGGAAGAATGAGTGCAGGTTCCCCCTGCTGAATCTCATATAAAATGCTCCCAGATTGCAGCCAATGGCCAG